CCTTTCCCCTCTCCTCTTCGATGTGTTACACATGTTGAGCCAGGGACTGAAGTCATGAATGAGATGTCTCTCAAACGCCCTGTCATCCGCCTCACTTCCATGTCGAAGCGGGATCATCACAAAGGAGTCGATCCCGATTCTCCTCATCCAGCGGTAGAGCTTCGGAGAATTTCCGAAACAGTCGGTTGAAGCATTCCGCAGGTGTTCTCGCCACCTTTGTATCATCACTCATGCTGTACTTCTGATGTACACCTTCCTTGCCCATGGATTGAAGATTCCGTATACTCCTGCTTGGTCCAAATCTAATAGTCCGTTGCCACCACCCGATCTATCAATATACTTCTCCACCCACGGTATCTGTCCCCTCACGGCCAGGAATAGCGTAGTAGTTTTGATCACCCTTTCAGTTAGCATCAACCGCATGCTGGTAATGCCCTGCCCCCTAAGGGTGGTTCGCTGTGCCATGTAAGTCTTCAGATGCTCCCACAGCACAACGTTCGTCGGGGGAACAGGTAGTCAACTAGATTCCCGCCTCTCCCCCTCCGTGGAGATGTCGCTGTTCAGTCTCGATGGTGCCGATCTTGGTGTGCGATCTCTGCTACCTGGTCGTTCTCCACCTGTGGTTGCTGGTGTCGTCTCTCCGAGACGAATGGTCGATTGTCCCGCTGTACTTCGGTCCCCCTCATTGAAACCATCATAGGTCGTCATCACCTGCTCCCGCGCCAGTAGATCTATCACCTCCGGTTTTTTAGTGTACTTGATTCCCTTCTTCTGGCAGATCTTGCGGAGTGCAGGCGCCTTCTTTGTCGAGAAGACCTTCTGTGGCGTACGTGGTTCGTCACATACATTCCAATCTTCCTCCGTCCTCCCCATGCCGAAACGCATACCCGCAAGTCTTCGAGGTGTGTTGTAGTCCCTTAATCCTCCCGTCTCCGTTCCAAATCCTACTTCGATGTCATTCGTTCCAAATCCTGCTCCGATGTCATTCGCACATCTCAGGTCATCATCACACGGTACGTATCTCTTCCCCCTAGAAGATTCGCCTTTCTCCGTTGTTGTTTTACAAGCCTGCTGCTTCAGAGGTGCTGCTGGTCCCTTGCCCTTCTCCTTCCGTTGATTCTTCTTCGCCTTCCTCGCCTTCCGTAGTTTTATAATAATCTTCTTTAAATCCTCATCGGATTCGTCAGTGTCCGAGAGCTGCGAGTCTGAGGTGTCGCTCCCCTCCATGTTCGTATCCTCATTCTCTACCGTTGTCGTTTTCTTGCCTCGTGTACTCCGGTTCGGATCACGTCGCCCATCCCCATTAAGTTCGAAGCCACTCGTACGTCTCAGGTTTTCCGCAGCCTGTGCTGCGCGCTCTGTGGCTTGCCGTACCGCTAGCTCCGCCGCTTGTTGTGCCGCCAGCTGTGCTGCTTGCTGTATTGCCTGATGCGCGGCCTTCTGCGCTGCTTGTTCCGCCTGCGCCGTTTGTTGTCTCCACTTCTCGTTCAGATTCGTTTCTAACTGGAGGCGAATCTCCTCCGTTCTCTAGATGAAATCGTGATCCCATTTGTGTTCTTCTTCCTCCTTCATCCTCCGCTGCTCCTCCTCCCTCCTTCGTGCGTCAGCTTCCTGCTTCTCCCGCTGTAGCGTGCGGAAATGCTGACGGATCTCCTCGAGTTCGTTATCATCTGCTCTTCCCCTCCTAGCCCAGCAGTCCTTTGCATAATGCCCCGGTTTCCCGCATGAGTAGCACGTACCCATCGGTCTGCCCCCGTTATTACCCCCGTCTGTATTCCCGTTATTACCGCCGCCCATATTCCCGTCACCCCTCATTCCGTATCCGCCCTGATTCCTGTATCCACCCCCGCCGTGATAGTTGCCTCCGTACATCTCCGCCGTTACTACGCCCCTTCTGATGTGCTCGCTAGTGTCGTCGTTCCATGTAGACACAACCACCGCCAAGCTCTAAGCGCTTACGGTTACTGTGCGCCTCAGAGTAGTGAGATAGTGACTGCGGCCACACAGCCATTCATAGCCCCCGGCCTAGAGAAACACGATAATGGTCGAGTTTTCATTTCTGGACTTTGATCTGCACAGAATGAAAAGCAAAATACACAGTACAATCAAAGTTCTGATCCCCTCCTCGACCTTCTTCTTTCCCTTCCTCCACTTTCCCCATGGCCAAGCTATGGCTGCCATCCTCAAAATATGAGCAGCGTGGTATCCTCTACATGTTTCATCCGCCCCACCGGCGGAATCGTCAGGAGGTGAACTCGTATGAGTTCCCGTGCTCAAAAGCAGCGTTGGCCCTGCTGCTTTTTCTAAATAGCTACTACGGCTGCAGCCGTGCCCCGGGTTCTTCCCCGGGATCAAGATTCAATCGTTAAATCAAGAAATACATCAAGAAATAAATCAAGAAATAAATCAAGAAAACGTCTTTCCCCTGTATCCTCCTGCCTTCCCCCTTTCCCCGGATTAGGGTTAGGTACCTACCCAAAATTTCCCTATTGTGTGTGTCCAGTTCTTCGTTACCGTCCCCCCGCGACAAAACCCCCGTTTTCCAATTGTATTCTGCACCTGCCCCGCTTTCTGCCCTGTATTCTGGCTTTCCCGACTAACGGTCTCTTTTTCCCTCCTCCCTACCTTCCTCTCTGAACTTTTCCTACGTGCCTTGCTACCCTTCTGTCTGTTGACTATCCCCTACTATCCCCTGCTATCCGACCCCCGTCATCCGTCTCCCGTTTTSTCGYTCYCGGTCCCCTTGTCTCCYGGGYRTGTCCCCCGRCCCCCTCGTTCCCCGTTCCCTCGGTAGCCCCCTCATTCCCTTATTTTTTCAACCCACTCCCTGTTTTCTGCAATGTCCTGGTCCGAGTCGGAGCCGTGCCATGTTTTGCAGCCCTTCGAAGAGGAGCCAGACCGACGTGTCCCCCGTAGCTTTGGCCAACTTGGCCAGAGCACCCAGAGAGACCTCCGGGGTGTATCCCCGGAGGTTTGCCTCGTGGACGGCATATGCTAGCGAGCTTATCACCAGGACTTTACACGTGGATGAGTCCCACAACCTCTTCAGAGTGGCGGATAAAGTAGCCTTCTTTGCTTTCTTCTCCGAGTAGGAGCTGAAGTCTTGCATCGACTTGTACTTGATCCTTTTGTCCTCTCTCAAACTATCGACGTTCTTGGTTTCTGGTACGAACGCCAGACGCAGTGGCTGATGGATAATGAAGAATTTCCCTCCCAGAAAACGCCACCAATCCCGTTGATTGTCCTTCCTTTCCAGCTGCAGATTACTGTCATAGCTCTGTTCAAATTTCTCGAAAATCTCCCCGGCTCTCCCCTTTATCTGCTCATTGCTCATCGTCCCCACAATTACGGTTATATCATCAATAATGCGCCAGCCCCTCACCAGCCGGCTATCCGTTCCCAGACTCGTGATGAACTTCATCTCCGCTATCACGCATGTGATGGTGGCCAGAACTGGGCTCAGAGACTTGCCCATCGGAATTCCCGAGGTCTGTCTCTTGATCATCTCCCCGCATATCACATACGCATGCTCTAGATCGTAGTCCACCATTTTGTAGATGGTCTCAAAGTCCATCCTAACATAGCCTTCTTCCTTCCGCTTCGTCCTACTGAGCGTGCATATCCTCCCTCTCCTAGAGACTTTTACCTGTTTCCAGTCCCGATCTACATACCACCGCAGCATTTGCCCTACCGATTCCCTCACCGTCTCGTGGGGAATCTTTGTAAACATATCCTTTATGTCGTAGCAGCGGCCTTCGACTTGTGTGCACCCCGCTGCTACGAACTTTCCCTCCGTCTCCCCCACCCTTGTCGCCAGATCTTATGTCGAATTCAGATAGAAAGAGCTCTCCTTCGGGAGACTCTTCACCAGACAGTGCAGCGCCCGCCTCGCTTTCTTTTGAGCAACGCCTGCCGGATCACTTGCTGCTGGTGCAATCGGGCGCCAGCGTTCCAAATCCTTGTCCTTCGGGATTATGTAAGCTTTCCCTATCCTGCCGTCAGCTCGCCACTCCCCCGTCTCTTTCAGCCCCCTGGACATGAAGTCGCGTTTACAGAGTCGCAGGATCTTCGTCTCCTCCATAGTACAACTCTCGTAGTCGACGTTCCATGTGAACGTCTTCCCAAAAGCGTGCCGGTATAATACAGGGCATACGACTGCTGTATCGCCCTGATTCCGGTCGATAGGTGCTAGCACCAGTCCTTGGAATCGTAGAGCCCATTTCTTCACCCTCTTGTCCTCCCATGCTTATAGTGTCACCGCCTTCTCAAGCTTAAAGCCGCCGTTTGGAGTAGTTATCTCCGTCCGGTCCCTTGGGAGGTGTAGTGCGGCTTCTTTGATGCAACTCTTGATGTAGTTGTCATCACGAAATGCGCTGCTGCAGGTGACATTCCGTGAGTTTTGGAGAAACATAGGCACGTCCTTCAGATCCGAGAAACGTGTTAGTACATGTCCATTGGCCGCTCGAGGTAAGCTTACCCCCCTACACCCACATTTCTGCTCGAGGGTATTGGCATACTCGCGCTGGTTGTGGATGATCTCTCCCACGGTCTTGTTCCGCTTCTAGACGACCCGAATCTTCCTTTTTATCAAACTCGCGATTGTCGCGTCCTCGACCCTCTTGTCCACCACCATTTCCGTTGTCGTTCTTATCCGCTGCTTCAACATTGTGCTGTCGTACTTCACCTTGATCGTAACCCGTTTCCTCACTCCAATCCCCGTCTTGATCCGAATCGCTTTGTTAATGCTCAGTCTCAGATCGTTCTTCGTCTTCTTCTCTCCGAGTAGGCCCGCTGCCCTATAGAGACCGACCAGCTGGTGTGTGGTGCGCTGTGCCAAACTCGCCTTCATCCGCGGTTTTCGCAGCAGCCATCGTAACTCCTGAAGGTTTCTAGCTGTTGCCGTAGTGGTTCGTGCGATGCCCTGTAATGTAACTGTTGCCCCACTCTCCAGGATTCTCCTCGTTGCCTCCAGTTTTAGCACGTGTCCTTTCCACCTCACTTTGGTTAGCCAGAAGTTCCGTTTTATCTTCCGCCATCCATTGATCCATAGTTGTCCCGCCCCGAACGTGAGTGTCCTCTCCTTCTTCTTGTTAATCTTCCATTCCCTCTCTAGCCACTCGAGTAGCGATGTCTCCGACCGTTCTCCCCCCTTCTCTCCCGTCGTGAATGTCACTGCCCTCTGAATACTAGTAGCCGCACCCCTGGATTTCTTGCGCTCCCGTCGTCCCTTCCGTGGTTTCCTCTTTCCCCTTTCCCCTCTCCTCTTCGATGTGTTACACATGTTGAGCCAGGGACTGAAGTCATGAANCCCCCCCCCCCCCAAATTTTCAAATTTTTAATTTTTGTTTTGTGCAGGGTGGTAATGGCCGACGTGCGTAGGCGGGGCGCACGCGCCTTTTCCGCGTGCGCCCCCGCTTGGCCTTGGCGTGGCCGCACGTAAACTCAACCGCGCGGGCTCAGCCGGCCTCCTCGGCCGCGGCCGAGGTGGCGGCGGCCGCAACCGAGGGGTACACATAGCCTGTGTCGACAAAACAGGGTCAACGCTGCCATCATTTTCATTGACTTTGAAAAGGCATATGACCACGTAGACTAGGCGTTCTTTGAAAAATGTTTGGAAAAAAATAACACTTTAGCCTGGACTTCTGCCTTCGGATTGACATTCTACATAGAAATGCCACGACCTGCGTGCAGGTGAATGGCTAAGTAGCATCCCTCTTCGAAACCCAGACAAGGGGACCGAATTGCCCCATTCCTGTTTCTGGTGATAACGGAGGCGTTATCGGCTAACCAGAGGCACAATAAGGACCTCACACGGATTAAGATTGCAAACATACCGGAGGAGGCCGTGCTGATTTGTTTCTTGTTTGCAGATGACCTTACCATTATGGTGGAGGCGAATTTGCAAACATGGAGGAAATTCGAGCACTTATGGGCAGGGCACGTTTTTGCAAGCTGAGCCTCCTGGGCATGGCTGTGAATTGGAGACAGAAAACAGTGGGCAGGTGGTTGCACCATCAAGGGGGAAGGCCCTCCGAAAACCCTGGTGGCTACCCCCGGATGTGCGCCTTAGGATTTTGAGGGCGTCGGTTACGGCAAAAGGAAAACCCGACACGAACGTGGCTAGGGGGGAAATGGGGGGGTTGGGTGGCTGAGGTAAGGTGGACAGATGAAGGCTTAGTAGGCCTTAAGCAGTGACAGGAGGCAGAGGTGGGGAGAAACTATCGTCTGTAGGAAGCGGATATGGTGAGAGACTATCGTCTGCTTTTCATGAGTGGACAATAAAGTGGGGGGACATACGTGGCCAGATTTAATTTGTATACAAGAAACTCACCTCACAGATTCACATATACATACGAGAGCACATAAATTAGCCTGGTCGTACACTAAGTTTCATTCGCCGGCACCAAGGAGTGGCTCAGGAGAGGTGACCATATGGGTCCCACCGGACTCAAAGGCGGAAATATTACAATGGACAGCAGATAAAAATCATGGCAGGTGGGTTTCTACAATTATTATGATCGATTTGGAAGTAATTTGTGTGATTAACGTATATGGCCCTAACGATGTACAGGAGAGGGTAATTTTTTTCCAGGAAATTAGAACTCAAATCCCGGAGGGAATTCCTATCATCATGGCTGGTGATTTTAATGCGGCCCCGGATAGGTGGATGGATCGCTGGAAATTACCCTCTCCATGTCCAACATATGTAGAAGTGGATGAAATAATAATTAACTCACTATGCGAAGGGGAACGTCTTTTTGACACATATCGAAGAATTTTTCCGCAGGAACGTTTATTCACATGTATTCGTAATAGCGGAACTCCCCTTCAAACCCGTTCTAGAATAGATTTGATTCTTATGTCACAAGATTTAGATAGGGTCTTACTATGGGCTATTTTTCCCCAAAGTCCTTGGCTTGGGGCAGATCACAAAATGTGTGTTGCCCTCCTTGCCTTCAGAAAGAAGCCAGATCAAAGAAGGGGATTTTACAAATACAATACTTCCTTGTTATCACAGGGACATTTTAAGCAATACATAAAAGACGTGTGGGAATTTTGGCACACCACCAGTGTTAATCAAAACTCGTACGAAGATTGCTTTAACAATGGGCTTGCATTCATAACCAAAAAGTGTAATGAAAATTTCGAAACTTCAAGCTAAAAACAAGTATTTAAACGAATTAAATATCCAAGAACAAATTCTAACTTATGAACTGACTAATCAACCTGATAATCTAGCCCATCCAGTCGATATTCAAGAACTTAAAAACCAACTCCTTTCTTTTGCACAACATCGTTGACAAGGGCATATAATTAGAGACAAACTATCGAAGTTTGTGACAGAGGGTCAAATGGATGCTTCATTTTTTGCTATAGCCCATTCACGTTCTCGACGTTCTTTCATTGAAGGGTTTTAAGACCCAGGGGAAACTAACTCTGATCTCTCGACCACGTCGCCAGGTAGCCTTAAGATAACTTATGATTTTTACAAAGGAATTTTTTCCTCCTCCAAAGATCCGGAATTGAAAAGGGAAGATAATATAGCAATAGAAAATTTCTTACAACCCATGACACAGACTCTGTCTCAGGAACAGAAAGATAACATTGAAAGACCATTAAGCGAGGACGAAATATGGAAAACACTCCTACAAATGGATGAGGATAAAACACCAGGTATAGATGGTCTCCCTAAAGAATTTTGGGAAACCATGTGGCCTGTTTTTGCATCAGATTTAATGGAATTTTTTGAGTCAATAAAAGAATCGGGTCGGATGGGGGAATTTGTAAGTCAAGGATTCTTACTTTCCTACATAAAAAAGGTGACAAAACAAACATCAGGAACTATAGACCAATCACGTTGCTTTCGGTTATCTATAAAATGTTAGCAAAAACATTAGCTAATCGTTTGATCCCAGTTATGACTGACATCATTCACCCTTCGCAGACAGGTTTTATTAATGGTAGACATATTCAAGACAATATTTTGCTTATTAACGAGATGGTGAAATTATCTAGACAGTCCAAGAACAAAGCAGCCTTTATCTTCATAGATTTTGAAAAAAACTATGACCATGTAGACTGACATTTTTGGGACGCTTGTCTAAAAAAAATAATTTTTTGTCCAAATTTTCAAAAATGGATTAGTATTCTTCATACTAATGCTACAACTAGAATTCAAGTAAATGGCCTCCTTTCTCCAGAAATTAAGTTACAAAGATCGGTGAGGCAAGGAAAGCCCCTGGCGCTTTTTCTTTTTGTGATTATAATGGAAGCATTAGGAGTCAACCTCAGGGCTAATAGTAATCTAAAACGTCTGCGTATATCAGGTATTCCAGAGGAGGCTATTCCAGTCTGCTCCATGTTCGCCGATGACCTTACGGTCATGGTAGAAGCCAGAAATGAAAATATGGTAGAAATTCAAAACATGATGGATAAATTCTCACAAGTCTCGGATATGGTGGTCAATTGGGGCAACAAAAATCTAGGGTGGTGGATTCATTCCGCTGGGGATAGGCCTCCGGAACATTCTAGAGTGAGATGGTTACCATTACAAGCTTCAGTTCGTATTCTTGGGGTGTCACTTACCGCTGTAGAGAAACCCAACTCTCATGATGATTGGGTGTCGAATCCGGCAATCGACAAAATGAACCAGTGGAAGAGCATTGATCATCAACAATGTTATTATGGCTTCTATTTGGTATAAATCAGCTCTATGGGCTATAAGTAATACAAGAACTAAACTCCTACAGAAACAGGTTACAACATTTCTATGGAGAGGAAATCATGAACAAGACAAGGTAATCCCTAGAGTTGCCTGGTGTTATTTAATCCAACCGAAATCCAGGGGGGGTCTAGGGATACTTGACCCCAATCTGCAATATCAAGCCCTTGCAATTCAATGGATGAAAAAATTAATCCTATCCAATGATAAGTCATGGAGGGCGATGGCTCTAGAACAGATTCGTAGACTTACCCCACTTTCAGGTGAGGACATACACCCGCTTTCATGGATTGAAGATCGCTTTTGGATAATCCCCAGGGCCAAGGTAGGGGGAAAGGGAGAAGGGGAAAGGGAGGAAGCAATGAGAGATCTGACACTAGATAATCTATGGGTAACCTTATTGAAAATATGGAGGCGCCTTCCATTACCGGACAGACCCTTCCCGACCAGATATGAGGAAATCCTTCGTCAACCACTTTTTTGTAATAGATGGATTACAGACCTTAATGGATGTATTTTCAACAGTTCTTTCCCACCCTGGTATCAGTGGGTCAAAAAGGGAGTTACACGTATTAAGGACATATGGGATTCAGGGAAAAAAGACTGGAAATCAGAGGATCAATTGAGGCAACATCTCAGTTATGCTCGTCACCTGAACACAAGCATGGACCAGATCATTTTCTCTATACCTCTTGCTTGGGTTGCATCCCTCAAGAGAAGGCCTCGGTTCAGGGAAGGGGACTGGGTAGTAGGGGTCCGAAGTAATGGGGATAAGACATTAGGACAAGTGGTCAATAGGACTCAACAGGGAGCTTTCGTGAGTCTGTGCAAAACAAATAGAGAATTCTTCTTGCTTCACTCTCCATCAGATCCTGTCTGTTTCTTTCCAGATTCAAAAATGTATCGAATCAGGGTCCTTTTTATTTCCTCCATTAAAGGATGGAGGGCGTTTCATCCGGAACTACCAATCCCGGAGCTTCCAATTGACCCTGATGAATGGGTCTGGCAAACCACTAAGAAAGGCCAGCCCAGAACATTACAAGGCCTGTTGGTAAAAGCAGCATATCGTTTAATGAGACCAAGAGTGGATATTTCGGCAATCCTCTGGGAAAGATGGGCCAGGCATCTGAATTTGGATATAAATACAATAAAGAATATATATATATATATTTTTTAAATCAGACAGCGTCCAACTAAATTTTCATCATTATAGTGGCAGATTGCTTATCGTTGTCTGCCCACAAATGACAAGATCATTGACCACTCTTCATTGGAACAAAAGGGCTTAGCCATACCTTGGTGCAAATCATGTGTTTCAAAGTTCCCTAGTGTGAAATGTAGGGAAACTATAGAACACATCTTTATGCAATGCCCTGGATCGGTTTTATTATGGAGAAGATGGGATTGTGTTTGGAGGAAACTTACTGGGCTGGAGTGGCCTTGGAACTGGAAAACCATTCTGTTAGGGCATTGGGTTCCACAAGGTGTTACACTGACAACTTTTCAATCAAACCTTTTTGAGATTGGAAGGAAAGCAGTGATTTGGGTCCTATGGTATAAGAGATGTGTGTTAGAAAGGGAAAATGTAATACTGGAAGGACCGGAAATTTCTGATCACATTGTTCAGTTTATCCAAACAGAAATCAGATCTCAATGGGAAACGCTGAAATCTAAATTATACAAAA